CGCGAATGAGTGTCTCAAGCCACGCTCTAAAACAGCTTATGACACTGAATAATGTTAATATAAACGATTTCGGAAATGGGCTATAAAAGGCACTATTAGGCATATATGCATGGACACAGTAAATAGGCATTTCTAGGCACTACAAAATTACAATAAAAGCCCTCCTTCACCTCTAATTGTTGCTCATATGCGCGTGAAAGAAGGTTGATCAGGCGTACGAAAGATGCACAAGCTTTGCCTGCGTGTTTCTGAGCCTGTTGACTGGCCGTGTTGCCTATCCCGAGCGTTACGAGGCAGAATGAAGTCGACTTTCTTATGCTGATATGAATTACTATATCCGCTAGAGTTTATTGAATGTTTCATTTGGTCGCTCAAGAAAACTGTTTTGAGCACCGTATTGTGACCACGGATTTTCATTCATTCATTGTCATGGCTGAAGCTGCCGCTTTCAAGGCGAGGAATTCGTTGGGAGCATTCTAACAGCAACACCTCAGGTATTCTCATATGCTGATGTCGTTGAATTAAAAGGAGTGAGAGAAAGTCAATTTATTTTGTCGTGCATTTCTTCAATGTACAAACTACGAGGAAAGCTGTTTGAATGGGCAGGACAACTCTGCGATGTTACCAAATTGCAAACGAAGGTTCTTTTGGATGACCTACGCTAGGTGTTCCATTGCGTTAGTGGCCCCATAGACACGGCGGTGCGGTGACACGTTGAGTGGAGAATGCCATCAGCACTACAGGTGCTGCTGTGCGTGCGGCCTCATCAAGTGTGAGGCCCACGGGACTGTTTTATGCTCTTTCATAGTAGAGTACCTAGTACTCGCAATCGCTAACCATTGTTGTCTAAACAAAGGTTGGTTTTTCTATTTAGAAGCACGGCTCGGCCGTAATTTCTGCCGGTTCGGCCTCTTCAAGTTTGAGGCCCAAGGGACGGCTTTCAGCTTTCCATAGTAGAGCAAACAGTTTACCATTTTTTTCGAAACACACTGCCCTCCCCTAGTAAAGAAGCAATGCTGGTGAATTCTTAACTTTGACCTAATTATAAGCCTGCATGCAGCTGTGTTGAGAAGTAATTTTCCGAAAATGCCCTACATTCGAGTAAAAATTGCCCTACTTTATTGTACAACATTTTCAATGCCCTACCTTTTACTCTGCGCCTGAATATAGTGGAGTATGAATGACAAAGTAAACAGTTTATTTCACTGCATGACCTGCAGACGTGTGGTGGCACCGAATTCGATAGTGAGTTGAGTAGGTTAAAAATCACTGAGGAAAAAAGATTAAGAAACATGAAATATTGCAAAATGAGAAGAGAAGGCGTTCCCATTTGTGGTTGAAGAGTGTTGACTTACAGCTGAAAGAAATGACTAGAAGATTGATCAGCAAGTATACAGATGACAGTGCAAGTGAAACTTCATACAAAACCGGCTCTCGGTAACTAGCGAAAGGGTAAAGGCAAAATAAGCGGGGCTTCAATTTACGATAATCCACGAAAAAGCACCTTATTGTTCGGAGACATGCCAGGTTACCTTAGAACGTCAAGTTAAAACTCGTGATTAAGTGAATGAAATACATGCGCGGGGATAGATGAAGACACGACGCTTCACGTTTCAAGTGAATAACGAGACATTCATTCGGGTGTGTGCGAGGGCATTAGCCTACATGGAGTGTTAAGTTTTGGGCACATTCTAAAGGTGAAAACGTTGAGGACAGAAATGAGTGAAATACGACTAAAGGACTGCAGCTGAAAAGTAGACACAAAGCAAAAAAAATGAGGTGTAAACTGCAATAAGGTGAAAATAGCTGGGCTGCAGTATGTGAACGTTTAACGTTTGTTTTTATAGTAAAAGAGCCTTAATTCAGCTAGGCAAGATTGTGCGCTAATGTATTATCATTAATTTAATTTGTCTTTCCTTTTTTCACATAAGTTGGTTATTCACTGACTACAGGATCTGAGTCGCTGCAAATTTTCTGTAGGCCACGCGACTCCAGGCTCTACCCAAGGAGGTTTTTTAAACCTCCTTGGTTTGACCGAAAAAGGTTTGGTTTGACCCACCTATAACTGAGTGGTGATTTCATGTGTTGACGTCACAGTGTGACGTCAGCGACTTCACTGTGATTTAATCACGATAATAGTTATAGTGCGAGAACAGAACGAAGACAGAGGCAAGACGGACACGAGCGCTCGCGTCCTTCTTGTCTCTTTGTCGTCGTTCTGCTCTCGCGCTACAACTATCGTCATGTCATACCAACTAGCCCAAACTGCCACACATTTAATCATGACGTCACGAATTCTGGCGATGTGTGATGTCCCGATGGCATCTGGAGGTGTCGTCGTTCGCAATGACGCCGACCGTAACTTTTTTGTGCTTGATGCACACCTAACGCTCGCTATCGCCTCACAGACTAGAACTGACCATCATCGCAAAATTTTAAAATCTATCCACGCAATTAATAAAAAAAGACACGGTGGAGAGAGAAAAACACCATCCACTAAAAAAGGCAACAGTGCTATCACTGGCATGTGTCACGTATTATTGTTCGTCTCTGCCCTCTATTGGTGGCAATTCCTGCTTTCGGATCCCTTTAGTAATGAAATCCTTGGATATGCCATGTCGGTTTTCTAGGTGTTTCGCTGATTATTGACAAGAAAATGTGGAAATTACCCTACGTTTTCCCACAGAATTGTTTTACGATCCTACTACCCCACGCTAGTCCGAAAATTGCTAAAGTACCATAAAAGCAGAGTAAGTATCCCACGGTTAGCAACGGCCTTGCCGAAGTGGTTTAGTGGCTATAAGGTAGTCGGCTGCTGACCCGCAGGTCGCGGTATCAAATCCCGGCTGCGGCGGCTTCGTTTCCGATGGAGGCGGAAATGTTGTAGGCTTGTGTGCTCAGATATGGGTGCACGTTAAAGAACCCTAGGTGGTCGAAATTTCCGAAGCCCTCCACTACGGCATCTCTCATAATCATATGGTGGTTTTGGGATGTCAAACCCCACATATCAATCAATTACGGTTAGCAACACTAATACACACGGTGAGCGACAGCTCACTTTGTCAGTTCCCTGCAAATTCTCCTATACAGGGTGTTTCGAGAAAGGTGCCCACTATTATTGAAAAATTACAGAAAGCAGGTGGCTACGTGCGACGTGCTTTTCACAGTGGCACGAGACATCTTCAGATGAGTACACACATTATTTACGGCTGTAATCATAGAAATTAACGATATTAACATTTTAATCACTGGAAACAACCGTTCGAATCAAACGGGCGAACTGAGTTCTTCCTGCGAGTAGTCCATGGCGCCTTTGAATTTTCTTGACGGCTACCACTTGTAAGCACCACGGGTAATGACATCTGGCTCAATCTAGCAGGTGTAACTGAAACCGACGCACCAAACAGCGCAACTTTCGCTTCTAAAACACCCCCAATCACGACACTGTTTCCCTCGCTGTTGTCAACCGCCAATCTGCATACCTCGTGTCGTGGCAGCGCTGTCCTGCCGCAAGACCGCTTGTCAACGTTCGGTTATCTTCGTCCCCTGATGCGAAGGAACAGTGTCGTAATTGAGGGCGTTCTTGAAGTGAATGGTAGATGCACTGTTTGATGCATTAGTTTGTGCTTATTCATCTGAAGTAGCCTTGTGCCGCTGTGAAAGAAACGCCATAGGTGGCACGCAGCTAATTCTTTCTGTTTTGCGTTTTGGGAGTAAAACTTCTCTTGGTCTAACCATGTCTTGGGTCAGGCGTAACCGGCAGTATTTCCCGAACAGTATAATAGATGGCGCTGTCTCATCCCCATTTCTCGTCTCATTTCATAGATGGTGGGGGTTCAATAGTGTGTGCAATAAGACGGACGCACGAATGGTCACATGGACGTATGGACGCACGCGCGGACGACAGCATGGACGGACGAACGCATGGACGGACAGATGAACGGACGGACGGACCGACGGATGGAAGCACGGATGGATGCATGGACGGACGGACGAACGCACGAACAGATGAACGGACGGACGCATGGACGCTTCGCCCCTCTTATCATCATGCACTCCGTGGATATGCTGTGAATGTTTTTCAATAATAGTGGACACACTTCTTGAAACGGACTGTGTAATAGCATAGCCTCATTTGGTATTGGGGTTGCACAAGCACTTGAAAAGAGCATACTCTAAATATTTCTCTAATGCGAAATAACTGTAGACTGCACTCATGGTGTGACTGTGTAGCTGCCAGAAAAGCCATGACAGGAAAGTGGAGCATAAATTGCGTGGGGATGCAATCAGACAATTTAGTACAAAAATAAACAATGAACATAATAGAATTTATTCAGTGAAAGAGTTGAAGGCTTCTTTGTGATCAGCTGCCATGCCTGCTGAACCAGGCGAGGCAGATTTTAATCGTGCGTCTATATCACAATGAACCCTGCGATCCACTTCGACAGCGCGATGGTGTGGTGCCAAAGTTTATTGTGGATCGACGGGCAGAGAGGTGCAGCTCACCCAGTCGAATTCACTCAAATCAATTAAAAGAGCTCATTGAGAGAGCAGAGTATTTGTTTATTGGCATATCCCACAAGATCACATTTACCCACTACAAAGCAGTCTTCTTCCACGCAACTCAACCACAGTTTCCAAAAACGTTTCCAAAGGCTGTGGCGTAGCGCTACTAAAAGCACTAAAGAGTAATTGATTGATTGACATGTGAGTTTAAACATCGCCAAACCACCATATGATTATGAAAGACGCCGTAGTGGAGGGCTCCGGAAATTTCGACCATCTGGGGATCTCTAACGTGCTCCTAAATCTGAGCGCACGGGCCCACTGCATTTTCGCCTGCATCGAAAATGCAGCAGCCACAGCCGGAAATCGATCCCGCGACCTGCGGGTCAGCAGCCGAGTACCTAAGCCACTAGACCACCGCGGCGGGGCAAAGACACTTAAATGTTAGCATTAAGGTTGCTTTGAATTTTTTCTTTGTCCCGCGATTTTCACAGCTGGTGGACGTGATGTTCGTGGAGACCCACCGCACCATGGAGCCGGCGACGTTCCCCGTGACGAGCTTCTACAGCCCGCTTCGCGTCAAGACGCAGGCCAAGCGTCGCGGGCAGACGGGCCTGTCGCACGTGCTGGGAGACATGTCTCTCGAGCTCACCCAGATGGACAAGGTCGTCTTCGGCGTCACGCTCGCCGGCGCCTCCTTCACGCTCAAGAACGTAGCCTCCAACAAGGTAGCGAAGTGGTGTACTGGTAATAAGAGTGGCCAGCTGACTGGACAATTAGTATGGCGTGCTTATGCTTAGCGTTAGATGGTATATGTGTTATAAGCGGCAATAGTGAGAATGGCTCAGTGGCTCAGCGGGCCAGTGGACTCAGTGGAGGAGTAGAGGGGGCAGCAGAGCGTAAGACAACAGGAAGAGTTAATATGTGAGTGATGTTCCACCTGTTTCAGCGGAGTAAGGTCTCTAGATGAAACAAGTTTCAAGGGATCTTACAACGGAGTGCATTCCTGCGCCGCCTATTGAATGATGTTGATGTTACTGTCAATTGAGCAGATTACTTTATTTAGAAAACACTCACACGCTTTCTCGCGGCACAGGCTTCGCTGAGGACACGAAATGAGCGGGCGGTCAGCTCGCTCAGTGAAAACACTTGCTAGCTGTGCCAGTGTGCCGCACGTGAGCGGTTGACGTCTCCGCTAGTTCGCTGGACCCACTGACTCACCGAGGTACTTAGCTATATAACTCTCTAATATTAACGCGGTTTCGGAGTAGTGAGGTTGCTGCAGTGCCCCTAAGTACCTACTGCTTCCCCCGTATTACTGCTGTTAACGTTCAATCAATCAATCAATCCTTCAATCAATCAACTGTTTTAGTTATTAGGATTGGTTTAAGAAAGTGTTGGCAACGTTCATTCATTCATTCATTCATTCATTCATTCATTCATTCATTCATTCATTCATTCATTTTTTTTGCCCCGCCGCAGTGGTCTAGTGGCTAAGGTACTCGGCTGCTCACCCGCAGGTCGCGGGATCGAATTCCGGCTGCGGCGGCTGCATTTCCGGTGGGGGCGGAAATGTAGGCCCGTGTGCTCAGATTTGGGTGCACGTTAAAGAACCCCAGGTGGTCGAAATTTCCGGAGCCCTCCACTATGGCGTCTCTCATAATCATATGGTGGTTTTGGGGCGTTAAACACCACAAATCAATCAATCAAATCAAACCACTCATTCATTTATTCATTCATTCATTCATTCATTCGATAAATAAGGTAATCATAAGTGTAGATTCATAAGGCGCTTTTCTCCTGAAAATGCCGCGATAACTGGGATGTAGCGTTTATTACGGCTGTTTACCAAAGCTTCACGGATTTGAAAACAAGTTTATTGGCTGATTAAGACAGTATTGGTAGGTCCCCACAATGTTTAGCATCCCTTAATTTAAGCCTCTGATTCTGGACTTGCGTCAAGGAATACTACATCACAGTGCTGTATAGGTGAATATGAAGATAAACATATAGGGGTTTGCTAAGGGAACGGTGCAGGAGTACATTTTGTGAGCTAAGAGCATTAAGTAACAAGGTAAATACTTTAATATGACCCTTTGAGTTTAACTTGCTGTCTTATCCTCATTTGGAAAATTCACTGTTTTACGTGAGCTCAAAGTTACGTGCCCCTAATCTAAAGAGAACGCGTGCTTCAATATTATATACATCCAGTCTAACTCGACCTGAACAAAAGCTGTTGATTTGAGCACCCGTTTTCTTTCTGAAATCATATTTTCTTAATATTCTTAAACCCGGAAGTAAGTGCTCGACTGGAATGGTTTGGAACAGAAACAAGCGTGTTGCTCATCACTCGCGCCGCTAAAAAAAAAGAAAAAGTGGCTACTGACATATTAAGCGTGGATCCAAAGCTCGAGAAAACACGAGAAGGATAGTAAAAAATAAGGAATGGTCAGATAAATAGGCACTTCTAACGGAATGTCTTGGCTTAAAAGTCGGTATCATCATCTCTCAGATTTCATCTGAAAGCCTGACGTGTCCACGCGCAATCTCCATCTCCTTAGACGCTTTAAAAACGACTCGCTGTCACGCGAGCCGTTAATCAACTACCAGTCTGGTTCAAAGCTCGTGAGAGACGGGCTGTTCAAGCACGGGTCTTAATCCATCCCCGTAATGATGTCTGACCCTTTTAGCGAAAGAGTGTGGCTGCTTGACCGCCAAAAGCCTATACTTGTTAGTTGTTGTTCTTAGAAAAGCATTAACATAACAGTTACAAATGCTTGTATTTGAACTAAGAGCATTCAAAATGACTTATACGCGATTTCAATACTTCAGATGATACTTGTAGATTAAAAAAACGTTGCAGTGGTAATGTTATAAATTCATACAATGCCCTCACTTCTGCATATTTCAGCACCTATAGCAGTCCTTAAACTCAATAGGCTAACTGGTCCATCATTTCATGGCAGTATGTTTACAAGACACAATTCCACTCCGTGAGGATAATCATTGCCAAGGGTAGTAAAAACCTGAGCTTGCCATCTGTTGGCCAAGGCCAGTCGATTGAGTCGAGCAGGCCTCTGAGCATTTGGTGACGTAACCGCTCGCAGCGGCGTGATAAACATCGAGTACGTCGTGCTTGCGGCGTGAAATAATTGCTTATTCAATTAAGTGATCTTTCAGCTGTGACGTTTTTGCAAGAAACCACCCGTTTCCAAACCACTAGTGAGATCGCGAGTAGTGATGCACCGCCATTTCGCAGGTAAACAGAGCAACACCAGCGTCTCAGCGAGACGGCTCGCTTCACTTCCAACTTTGCTTTTCACATCGATGGCGTTCACAAAGTTATCACTTGCGAACGTATTACATGCAAGTACAAAGCTCAATTGTGTTGGCGAAAACAAGTGCTCTATGACGTATTCGTAAATGATCGCGAACGGCGTAGGCGACTGCCAGAGTCCGCCAAACGCTAGGCCTATACCTGACTTGCGATGTGCTTGTCGGTCGAAAAGGCGTATAGTCTTATTCATTACATTTTGTCCATCAAAGCAAGACTCTACAATGTTCCTAGTTTTCTGCTTTTTTTAATTCATACATAACTCCGCTTTACCTGGAGGCGTTACAGCAGGGGGGGTTACAAACATGAAAAAAAATACATCTTCATTTTCACTGCACAGTTGCTCAGACAGCAGACAGTTCCACTCGGTAATAGCTTTCACACACAAAAAACAAAAAGAAGTTCACTTACAGGTTACTGCTGACCCGGTATGGCCTTATTTTGTGTATGTGATCTGAACGTTCAGATATGTAATCCGGCTTTTTTAAGCAAAGGTGTCTGTCAATTCCTGTTTTATTTTAAAATATCGGATTCATGGTGAAAGTGACTCCCAGTATAATTCCTTTTTTTTCATTTTGGTACAACTGCAATTTCTTCCATACCGACGCAAATCATACCCGGCTGCTCTGTTTTAATTTTTTTTATAATTAAACATCAAGCATACCTGTGAGGGGTCCCAAAAAGTACATGCTATAATTGGCCGAATACAAGTGAGGTAAGCCGTGATCACAAGCTGTAAACTACACATCTTAAATATCTTTGAATATAGTTCATTATGAAAATACAAACACGGAGCGAAAAGCAATCGAATGGCAGCAAAGAGAAAAAGAGCCACACGTGCACGTGCCATGGACCACCGTTCAACTACATGTGTGAACAGCCAATTACGGCAAAAATTACTGTATATGCCGCCTTTAGGTAGCAGAGTTGCGTCCCGGTACGCCATCATGGATCTAAATGTCTTTCTGGAAAGCCACTCACCACCCGCATAGGACGAGCTTTCGTGCTTCCGAGTATATATAGTAGCGTTGCCTTGTTGTTGTTTTTTCGTTTTTTTTCTATTTTTTGTGAAGGTACGAGCCAAGTTAGGTTGTTCCGGTCGCGCCTATAAGCCTCGATTTTATGTTTATGTTCTTGATATGTAATAATGAAACAAAGTGCGTCGGCTCGTTGAACCAGTGTGATATATGGCCACACATTTGCTTCACCTTCTTTTACGGTGTTTTTCACATTTACAGACATGAATTTATTTTTCAGTTTTCATCGTGATCGAGGAAGTCAGAGATGAACTTTTTTCGTCACTTGTGGGTCGTTCGTTAACCGTGTGAGGGAGCCAGCTATAGTTTTATAGTCTTCAACTGAATATAGCTGTATAGCAATCGAGAGTGGTCGTGCGACGCCCGCGTTACTCCCGATTCTCTTATTACGTTCGTATTATAATCACGGCTCACGCCAGTTGACGTGAATCGTTATTCAACAGCCCTGTTGCGTCCGACATTCTTTTCGCTTAACGTTTGAAAGCTGACTTAAATTCCCCCGCTGGCAGCTGCACTTTGCTGATTAGAATATTTTTTTATTGATATGATATATAAGGAGATTCGAATAGTTCTAGTTTAAATTCTTTCTTTGATTTTAGCGTTTTACCCGTCACACCAATTTGGACGTATGCAGCCAAAACACGCGGACCAAGTCTGCATGTATAACTTCAGCATCTTTGGGTAATACAAATACAGCAAGTTTCACAGTGACGTGAATAGATAAAATGTAGTCAACCGCATGGGCGTGAGAAGGGGGTGGGGGAGCGCTAGGGGCCCTATACCCCCCCAAGACAACAAAACGCTTGCCCTCATCACAGCTTCTCCTTTCGTCTTTTAGGCACGTTAGACAGCTACAAAGAAAGCTACAGTGGCTGATTCCCCGAGAACTGTGATGCAGGTTATAATATGTGGAATAGATATTCATACACGACACAATAAAAACAATCATAGCACTGTTGTGCATATTTTAGAGATGATCTAGGATCTTAAGTGAAAGAAGCGTGATTTTATTTTGCGAAATGTTCTTTTTGCTCGTTAAAACTTATGTGGCGATATAATAAAGGCGTGTAATGCCAACGTCGTCTTGCACCTTTTGACCTGCCCTTTTCCCCTCTTCACAGGCAGGCGACCCGTCGTCCGGCCCAGGCAAGCCCGGCCTGTTCACCCGTCAGCCGGGCACCCTCAGCCACTACGAGCTGGAGCAGATGCTGGCGCACGACCTGAGCTGGTCACGCCAGTTCGACCGGGTCGCCCAGTGCTCGTACGTCGTCAACGGCGACCAGTGGGTGGGCTTCGAGGACGACGTGTCTCTGCAGAGCAAGGCCCACCTGCTCCTCTTCACCGGGGGCATCGCGGTGTGGGACATCTGCATGGACGACTTCCGGGGCACCTTCGGCCGACCGCTGCTGGCCCGGGCGCGAGAAATCTTGCTCAGGAACCACACCTTCGGGCACAGCCTGCGTGCCAAAGGCCCGTCGGGCTGACTCGAGGTCCGCGCTGACACTCCGCCGCGGCCAGTAACCAGCCACACGTAGAGCCGGAAGTGTTCCGTTCGGAAGCCTCGGGCGCTGCGCGTGCTTGAGTATTGTAGACTTCGTTGGAAGGATGAGATGGGTCCAGTGGCTTGGCGCTGTACAGTGGGCCCAACGCGCGTTTTATTTCAAATATGCGAGAACGCTGCGCGTGTGCAGTGTAAGGATGTCTATGCGCGGTAAATTACGCCCGCTGGAAAATGTTTTACAATAAGTGTATAGAAACATCAACGTATTTCTTTTACGTATATCGCTGGCAAGCTGTCTTCCTTTGTGTGTGCGTGTGTTTGGGTGCGTAGGCTGCAGGAGAAAAAAAATCGCAGCATATCTACAAGGGGATCGAGTGGGGCAAAGTGGACGAACGGACGGACGCACGCACGGACACACGCACGGACGGACGGACGGAAGTTAGGACGGACTGATGGACGCTTCGCCCCACTCATCATCATTCCCTCGGTGACACCGCTTTTACTGACATTGAATGCAAAGCAACTGGCTATTACGACGAATACGGCGACACCGGACATACGAACCACGGCGTAAGGGGCTTCGCCCCTAGAAGAGTATACGTCTTACCCATTTCGTGGAGTTCCGACTTGCTAATGATGAATTCTCATGGCGGATTTGGAGCAAGTTTTAGGGGTGTCGTGCGTCCGCAATGTATGTAGTGGTAGTAGTAGTAGTCAAATTTTATTGGAGATTAAGCCTCCGGTACTCGTCTTTTTAGGTTATTTCATCAAAAACAACTATATATATATGACTAACGTGCGCGGGTTTCCTCCTCAATTCAAAAGAGTGCGCGCGTGCTGCTCCCCTAGTTCGGCCGTGGAGGTGGTTATCTGCTACTACTACTACTACTACTACTACTACTACTACTACTACTACTACTACTACTACTACTACATACATACATACATACATACATACATACATACATACATACATACATACATACATACATACATACATACATACATACATACATACATACATACATACATCGCGGCCCCGCCGCGGTGGTCTAGTGGCTAAGGTACTCGGCTGCTGACCCGCAGGTCGCGGGCTCGATTCCCGGCTGCGGCGGCTGCATTTCCGATGGAGGCGGAAATGTTGTAGGCCCGTGTGCTCAGATTTGGGCGCACGTTAAAGAACCCCAGGTGGTCGAAATTTCCGGAGCCCTCCGCTACGGCGTCTCTCATAATCATAGGGTGGTTTTCGGACGTTAAACCCCACAAATCAATCAATACATACATCGCGGACGCACGAACCACTGCTTAAGGAGTTTGGCCCCTAAAAAAGTAGTAACAGAAGGACGCACTTTAAGCTCTATCCGACCAGAAAAATTTGCCGCGTTAAACTATCTGGGCGTAACCTCCTTGGTTTTAGCAAGATTTAGCGAGGGTTGGGCAGCAGTGCCACGAGCTAGTGGCGGTGAAAGCAGAGAACTAGACACGAAGCGCCGGCCATTACAGAGTGCGAAAACCAGCGGTTTCATTTCGAAGTCCAAGCACTCTCACTGCTCGCGCCTCCGCCTACCTCATCGTCACCGCTGCCCCGGCACGTCAGCACGCGCCCGCGTCCCCCTCTGTATCGACGGGTCAGACAAGTGCGCATGCTTTTACTTTGACGTAGATGGCTTCGTGAAGGTTGAAGGGCGAAGAAATGAAGCAGGAAAGATCTCCTTCACAGAGGTCTGTACATTATCATCATCATCAGCCTGACTACGTCCACTGCAGGACAAAGGCCCCTCCCATGTTCCGCCAGTTAACCCGGCCCTGTGCTTGCTGCTGCCAATTTATACCCACAAACTTCTTAATCTCATCTGCCCACCTAACCTTCTGTCTCCCCCTAACCCGCTTCCATTCTCTGGGAATCCAGTTAGTTACCCTTAATAACCAGCGGTTATCTTGTCTACGCGTTACATGTCCAATTCCTCTTCTTTATTTCAACTATGATATCCTTGACCCCCGTTTGTCACCTAATCCACTCTGCTCTCTTCTTGTCTCTACCATTTTTCTTTCCATTGCTCGCTGTGTCGTCCTCAGTTTAAGCTGAACCCTCTTTGTAAGTCTCCAGGTTTCTGCTCCGTAGCTAAGTACCGGCAAGATACAGCTGTTATATACCTTCCTCTTGAAGGATAGTGGCAATCTATCTGTCATAATTTGAGAGTGCTTGCCGAATGTGCTCCACGCCATTCTTATTCTTCTAGTTACTTCAATCTCGTGGTTCGGCTCTTCGGTTATTACCTGCCCTAAGTAGACATAGTCTTTTAACACTTCAAGTGCACTATTACCTATCTCGAAGCGCTGCTCCTTTCCGAGGTTGTTGTGCATTACTTTCGTTTTATTCAGATTAATTTTAAGACCCACCTTTCTGCTCTCCTTGTCTAACTCCGTAATCATGAGTTGCAATTCGTCCCCTGAGTTACTCAGGAATGCAATGTCATCGGCGAAGCGCAGGTTACTGAGGTATTCTCCATTAACTCTTATTTCTAACTGTTGCCATTCTAGGCTTCTGAAAACCTCCTGTAAGCACGCGGTAAATAGCATCGGGGAGATTGTGTCTCCCTGCCTTACACCCTTCTTGATTGGTATTCTGTTGCTTTCTTTATGAAGAACTATGGTAGCAGTTGATCCCCTGTAGATTTTTTTCAGAATGTTTAATATACACTTCATCTACGCCCCGATTCCGTAGTGTCTGCATGACGGCTGATATTTCTACGGAATCAAACGCCTTCTCGTAATCTATGAAGGCTATGTATAGTGGTTGGTTATACTCTGAGCATTTCTCTATTACCTCTCGATTGATAGTATGAATGTGGTCAATTGTTGAGTAGCCTGTTCGAAATCCTGCTTGTTCCTTTGGTTGATTGAATTCTAATGTTTTCTTTACTCTGTTAGCAATTACCTTTGTAAATAGCTTGTATACTACAGAGAGCAAGCTGATCAGCCTGTAATTCTTCAAGTCCTTGTCATCTCCTTTCTTATGTATTAAGATGGTGTTAGCGTTCTTCCAAGACTCTGGTACTCTTCCCGTCAGGAGACACCTCGTAAACAGGGTGGCTAGTTTTTCTAACACAATCTGTTTTTCCATCTTTCAGCAGATCTGATGTTACCTGATCCTCACCAGCAGCCCTGCCTCTTTGCATGCTCTCCAAAGCTTTTCTGACTTCTTCTATCATTACTGGTGGGGTGTCATCTGGGTTACTGCTAGTTCTTATAGTATTAAGGTCATGGTTGTCTCGGCTACTGTACAGATCTCTGTAAAATTCCCACTATTTTAACTATCCTATCTATATTGGTAGTTATTTTGCCTTCTTTGCTCCTTAGTGCATACATTCGACTTTTGCCTATCCCAAGTTTCCTCTTCACTGCTTTGACGCTTCCTTCGTTTTTCAGAGCGTGTTCAATTCTCTCAATGTTATACCTTCTTACATCGCATACCTTACGTCTATTAATCAACTTCGAAAGCTCTGCCAGTTCTATTTTTTCTGTTGTACTTGACCCTTTCATGATTTGACGTTTTTTAATTAGGTTCTTCGTTTCCTGGGAAAGCTTGCCAGTGTCCTGTCTAACTACCCTGCCTCCAACTTCCACTGCACACTCCGTAATATTACTCGTCAGATTATCATTCATTGTATCTACGCTAAGGTTGGTTTCCTCACTAAGAGCCGAGTACCTGTTCTGCAGCGACACTCTGAATTCCTGTACTTTCCCTCTCAGTGCTAGCTCATTGATTGGCTTCTTGCGTATCAGTTTCTGTCGTTCGTTCTTCAAGTCTAGGCGAATTCGAGACCGTACCATTCTATGGTCACTGCATCATACCTTGCCAACCGCTTCCACATCCTGCACGATTCTTGGGTGTGCACTCATTATAAAGTCTATTTCGTTCTTATTTTCGCCATCAGGGCTCCTCCATGTCCACTTGCGGTTTTCTCGTTTTCGGTAGAAGGTATTCAAAATCCGTAAATTATTGCGTTCTGCGAATTCTACTAGTAGCTCTCCTCTGGCGTTTCTAGCACCGATGCCATAATCTCCTACTGCCTGGTCTCCAGCCTGCTTCTTCCCTACCTTTGCATTAAAGTCGCCCATCACTATAGTATACTGTGTTTTTACCTTACTCATTGCCGATTCCACGTCTTCATAGAAGCTTTTAACTGAAGCGTCATCATGGCTGGATGTAGGCGCGTAAGCCTGTACTACCTTCATCTTGTATTTTTTATTCAGTTTAAATACGATACCTACCACCCTTTCATTATTGCTATAGTATTCCTCTATGTTGCCAGCTATGTTTCTGTGAATTAGGAACCCCACTCCCAGTTCTCTTCTGTCTGCCAAGCCCCGATAGCAAAGGACGTGCCCATTCTGTAGCACCGTATAGGCCTCATCTGTCCTCCTAACCTCACTGAGACCTATTATATCCCATTTAACACCCTCTAGCTCATCGAATAGTACAGCTAGACTTCCCTCACTATATATGGTTCTAGCGTTAAATGTTGCCAAGTTCAGGTTCCAATGGCGGCCTGTCCGGATCCAGAGATTCTTAGCACCCTCTGCTGCGTTGCAGATCTGACCGCCGCCGTGGTCAGTTGCTTCGCAGCTGCTGGGGACTGAGGGCCGTGAGTTATTTGACGTATGCATGTGAGAGGTAGTGGCCAGATACTGCACCAGGGTGGCCAATCCTTCTCTGGTGAGGGAGTGCGTTCCCGGCGGTGGTTGCCGGTGAGGCCGCATCCCAGGCCTCTTAATGAAGTTCCATCAACACGCGAATTTTTTTTCTTTAATCCGGTTGGGAACTGCGCGGCACCGGGATTTGAACCACGGACATCTTGCATGCGAGGCGGATGCTCTAACCACTACGCCATCGCCGCACCCCTGTACCTAAGCAGGTCTGTACATCATCATCATCATCATCATCATCATCATCATCATCATCATCATCATCATCATCATCATCATCATCATCATCATCATCATCATCATCAGCCTGACTACGTCCACTGCAGGACAAAGGCCTCTCCCATGTTCCGCCAGTTAACCCGGTCCTGTGCTTGCTGCTGCCAATTTATACCCGCAAACTTCTTAATCTCATCTGCCCACCTAACCTTCTGTCTCCCCCTAACCCGCTTCCCTTCTCTGGGAATCCAGTCAGTTACTCTTAATGACCAGCGGTTATCCTGTCT